CATATGACTTGTCCCATTGGTGATGTCTGGAAGACAAAAGATTCCTAATCCGATGAAAGCTTTCTTACTCAGAAGAAATTATACATGAAAACTAGCGCTCAAGAGCTCTTGTTGAGCAATATGATAGCAGTATTCGTGAAATATGAAGTGTTTCTGAAATAATGGCACGGCACCATGAAAATAATAATAGGGAAGTCATTTGTTATAAAACAGTTTGGCTTAAAAGACGAGTTATAGCGCAAATGTTGTTGGCTATGAGTCGCTGATACAGCTGAATACCTCGCGCGGCATCGCTCATTTACATTTTCTGGGCCGGTAAAAGCCCTCAGTAATGGCTGGAAGCGTTTGAGGCGACCCTCCAAGCTTCGAGTTCTCATGATGTGAACGATAGTTTACAGAGTTTTTCACCCATGTTGTCATCCCTACTTCGTTCGGAGTGCAATCGATTACATAAATCTCCCATCCTGTAGCTTTGCGGGAAGGATCTGCAGAAATTAATCTCAATAGTACATGTAGTGTAAGTCTTGAATATACCTGCATGTATACATAGACATTAAACGGTATGTGTGCCTGTTCGTTTGTCGTTGTATCTGTTGATCCACAGACAAAAACCTAGACAATAACACGTAAGCACATTGAGGACACGAGTTACCACTTACCAGGGAAGGGTTTCAAATTCCAATGGAACTTCGTATGCAGATCCAAACTTGTGGACGGTGTTTGAAATGCTATTTACAAATTTGGAACTCAAAACTGCTAAAGAAAAAGTATACGAAAAAGTTATGAGCGCTCAAAGTTTGCCTGCTCAAAGCACGGAGAAAGCATCAACTGAAATGCTTAGTGTTGGCAACACCTGCAGGTATCGCCGCAGCGTGAGGACAACGTTCCCCATCTTCAAGTGAACGGTGTGGTTCTGCTCCCCGTTAAGCAGTTTTTTGCAGAACGTCTTCTTACTAATGGAAGCTTTGATGACATTTTCTGATATCTATCAGAGACTTTGATATCATTTCTAGGATATGAAACTCTATATCTTGGCTTTTGTTGACGCTTGTTATTCTTTGAAAACCAAATGGTTTTCACGGATGAAACTCTTTCGTTCTCCGACCTGATCATGAGACCGGCGCAAAGGATATCACCTTGAACAGATACATTTTGGAAACGATATCAATGAAACAATCTAAAAATGAGTAAAGCAGATATGTATGTTGTTCACTAAATACTATCCGTATACACGGTGCATCTGTACAAGCTGGATAAACCATCAGTTAAAGACGAAATAGAACCACATCCATTTTCTCTACACTTTTTTGGGTTGCTTCATCGTGTTGAGTTTTCTTCACGTATTTATCTTTCAAGAGGATTTCATTTCGAAGAGTGTATGTATTGGTGCTGAAAAAGGAGCGATACAGAAGTAACGTGGAGAATTTTTTATTGGTGCGGTGAACGCAACTGATAGCCAACATGACTCCAACTTGATTTACGAAAAACGGTATAAGTGCATTTACTCAAAAAAATGCACGTTTCGGTGCAAATTCACACCTTTCGCCGGAGGAAGGAGACAACTGCCACTTGTTATGGCGACCCTTCCAGTAATTGGGCAACTACGCATCCCAGTTGGCGCTATCTCTCCATCCTTGTAGCAAGTCACTTTTGAGCGCTCACAACTTTATTTGGTAAACTCATTAAGCTGTTTTATGCAATTTCTAAATATATAGACAGCATTCCAAACTCTTTTACCATACCTAGGTCTCTATCCAAAATTCCATGAGTGAGCGAGGGCCTTTTCTGGAGGAGGCAGTCATGAACTCTTTTGGGATAGCACAATTTGTAAGCAGGAACAGGAATGAGCTCACAACTAATCCTTGTTGTAACGCAACCGTAACCTCTTCTGCATTTGTTAGGACGGGAGTGTTGCTCGACAGGGGGGATCAGGTGGTCTAACAATGAGGCGTGCTCCAAAGGACTACTCGCAGGAGTTAGGCGTGAGTCTTCTCCAGATCAAAAAAGGCTGGTACCAGTGCCTATACTTTTCTCTATACTTCTCCATTCCTTGTCTAGCTACGATGGCATACCTTGTAGACCTTTCTGGTATGAAGTTGGGTTGCTTCTGTAAGACTGGATAAATTTTGAGTCGATTTATTTTTTTCTGCAGTCTAGTGTGTCAGTGATTCTGATTCCGCCACAGAAACCCCCCGTCGTCTTTCTTGAAGATCGGGACGATTGTACTGCTCATGTACGCGTCGGGGTTACTCCCTACAACAGTTTCATTAAACCTGAAACTGTTGTGGGGGAGCAACCCCGACGCGTAAATAAGCAGTACAATCAGTACGAGATCAGTGAGCCAGCTGATCTCGTAATGATTGTGCTGCTCAATGGCTGATCACACTTTTGCCAGAGTGCCATGAGGCCAGCCTTTAGCTCTATTCAGAGCATGTCCTCACCTTGATATTCTCTGTTAATGGCACAATTCACGATAACTTTGAGTTACCCTTTTTAGGTTGAAAAGTGGAAGTCTTGGTGTAGAGGAGTACATCGGTAGAAAAGAAAGCGAGAAAATCTGCCCACTCCAAGGTTTTTTAAAAATTGTGGAAATGGAGGTTGTACGAGATCACCGTAACGGTAATGGCTTGTAAGGGGTGTTTGGGCGGGATTCAACTTTCTCCCATTGGCTGCTTTCATAGTCCGCAGGCAGGCGCGCTGGCGCGCCTGCCTGCGGACTATGAAAGCAGCCATTGCTTTAAGAGATAATTAAATGAAGCCGATATTGTCCGAAACTGCCTTTCACTGTCGGCATGGGTTATGACAAGTTGTTTGAATTCCTACATGAGAGTCTCCTGAGATGGTGCAGCCTCTACAAAGCCGTTGAAGCTCGCCAACGATGGGTGCGGCATTCACACGATACAATCTCTGGCCCCTTATTGTGCCCTATCCATGACGTTTTGCGACTGTATAACGGAAAGTATGGTATAAGGAGAAGCCTCGAATTCATACTATATGAAAATCTCTGAACTGTTATTATCGTGAAATGTGCCTCGCCGCTATGTTTGCCACGAGGAGCCTGTAGATGAAGAGGAACATTTTCGATAGGCAGTACCATCACGGTCCTGAAGTTATGAGAAACAATCTTCTTATTGGCACGAGGTCGACTTCCGTTTCTCCCGAACACTGCTACGAGTCCAAATAACATTCAAATGATTAATATCCCAAGGGCGAATTATTATTCGTCGGAGCTCATGGAAGAAGTAGAAATGTGAGGAAGTTAGAGATGTAACAGTAGAAAAGACCAATCACTTCAATGTTCATTCTTGAATTATTGCAATGAGACACGTTTTCACGGAATGTATCAAAGAGGTCATCAGGTCCCGGCATATACTTACACTTCAAATTTATTACAACGAAATTATTAAATTACTATTACAACTTAATCGCTTTGCATCAAGTCACTTCTCTTCCGAAAAACGTCGTTTTAGCTATGTTTTAGGGAATATTTTCCCATTATATGTCATGTAATTAGGCGTGTTTACGAGTTCCCCTGACGTTTGGAGGGCGATAGCGAAGGGGATTGAAGGGCTGTGGAGGTTCAGTCGCCTGAAAAAATGCTTTGCAACCAAAGATAAAACTATGCCAAGCAGTCAGACCTCCTCTTTTTCGTCGCCTTCCTCCTCTTCTTCCTCATCCTCTGTTTCGTCTTCATCTCTATTTCCTTCCATTTCGTTCTGAATCCTTGGCCTTTCTTCATTCAACGGACTGGAAGAATTGCTTTTTCAAGAAAATCTATTACCAACTTGCAGAAAGCTTTATCGAAAGGCACTGTTTTTACAAAATAAAACTGGAACTCTTCCATTGATTTGCCATAAGATAGAGGGCCATTTCCCACTGTCTCACAGAGCGAATGTGGCAAGGAAAAAGGACTGGACTTGCTTAATTAAGTGAGAAAATCACATCATTTGCATTCTTTAGGCTTTGCTGCTTTGAGCCCTTCATTGAAGTCACGGCCTCATCTGACACTGAGTGCTTGAAGTTGTACTTATTTGAAAACAACGTTATGCTCGAAAATTCCAACTTTCCGAAAGAGTTTCGAATGATTTGAAGAGCCTTGTGGAGATGTTGGTTACAGTAGTTCCATTAGAGTAAAAACACAACTTGTATGAAACTGCTGTCGGAATACTTAAAGTACTGACACTGTAGACTTCTCGACGTGAGGCTGTGGTTGGGCGACTCCAATCGGCTCAAAGTCCACTCGGCGATCGTTCTCTCCACAAGCTATCCGATAAACCCATACACGTACTCCTCCTCTGGAAATGTTTACAAATATAGCTTTACACAAGTTCGCTGCTACTTCGTACGTTTTAAAAGTTAGACCTAGCCAAAAGGTCACATGAATGGTCAAAAAATGTCACACAAATTTAGTGCTATCTTTGTATCTCTTGATGGTTGAGATGAACACAATAATGTTACGAATTAACAAGTAACTCTGATCTGTGGATCATGGCCAATTGAGCAACTCCTCACTGTCAACCGGTTAAGATAGCACCTTTCATTAAACACAAAACAAGCAGATATATGAGCCATCATGCGACGCATGATATCAAAACCAAACAAAGGCACAACATCGTTTCAGTGGAATCTATGGAAACACCGTCGCTCCGCTAAATTAGGTTTTTTTGGTGGCATAGGCATGAAGATCTGAGCCAGGTGCTTAGTAGTGGCTCACTTCAGGAGCAGAGGAATCACAAACAGGGATAACGAACGACATGGTCATAATAGTAGTTATTAGCTCAGCACTTGCCGGCACCATACGGTAGTGCCAGAACCATTCATTTTTTTCATTTCAGAAAGAAGGTTTTGTGGGATGAGCTCCTTCAGTTTCGAAGCACCAGCGGCAATAGAATGCACCTGACTGTTACTGGATTGTCGTAATTCAATTCAGTTTCAAGTGAACGGCGGTTGTATCTGCCACTATGATATACATTTCTTAATATGTCATCTATAAAAATCACTCACTGTTCTGTTCGAACGTTGGCGATGAAATCGTACTCTCGGCCTTTTGGATAGTACATATCTTTCTTAGCAATTACTCCACCTTCATAGTACGAGCCGGCTGTTACGAGGTCTGTACCGACATAGATCTTATTGGGCACTTTGATAGTGCAGCACCTCAGCAGGACACTGAAAACACTTTCGTTCGGTACGTCGAAAGTAATAAAACCGTTCTTAGCGTCATACCTTTGCCCGTTTGGCGCCCAGCGCATTCCTGAGAAGACATCTGTGTCGGCCCGACAACTCGTCTGATCATGAATGCATCGGCGACCTACTTCCCCACATGGAATCGGTCCACATTCGGCTTCGAGGGTACCGTCTTCGAAGACAGTGATTCTCGTTATCACCTAATAAAATAGTAAAGAACTATTATAGGACAATTTACAAACAAGAAGGAATGGAAAAGTAAGTTCAACTGAAGGGTATGCGTTCAAAAGAACTATGAGCTATTCCCTCCAACACTTATTTTAAGAACAGATTAGAGATGAACACTTCCCAGCAGGTCTCTTTTGAAGGGAAAACCAAAAAAAGGATGAAACCGAAAAAAGGAATTTAAGCTGTGGAGTAAGTAGAGTATAACTTCAAAACCAACGAAAAAGTAGAGTAAATTGAATGCCAATATACTATAACAAGGGCGGAGGTGTTGTAGTGGCAAGTGGCGCACTATCTCACACGCACGGTCAGGGGTTTGAACCCCGGATCGACGTCCGCCTAGGCCAACCAAGCCTTCCGTCTCTCCGGGGTTGGTTAAATAGTACCAGACTCGTCATGGGAGGATAAAAACACTGACTTNTACATCGGCTGGCCACCGCAAGTCGTTGTATAGGCCACATACGCACTCATTACGCCACTACGATTCTGAATGGAAGTTGAGTGCGGGACGCATCCCTCAGACGGGATTCATTGACGCCAAAAACTTCAAACTTTTGAACTTTATATCATTACAACTATAAAAGGGGCAGAGGTCGTAGAGCTACGGGCCACATAGAAGCACTAACTTTTACATAGGCTCACCACCGCCCATATGTAATTGTATAGGCGACACACAAGCATTCAAACATCCACTACGATATATTCGAGTTGAAGGAGAGCATCAATTTCTCTATATATAAAGCCCTAGCTTTGTAGGTTTGCTTAAATGTCATTTTGTGTGTCAGTCCGCAAAAAGTCAAGTGGGCTGAGACTGTAAAATGTCACGTGGGCACAGGGAGGGGAGGTTTATGGAATAGGAAGTCTACTAGTACTAAAGAGTAGAGAGTGATATATCCAAGTCTGCCTATTTAATAAAGAGTTACACCGAAAACCTCGAACGGCATACTAAATTTCCTCAACGCAAACGATAATGCTTTGGGCGGGCGAACAAGAGAGAAGTTGGAAACTCCACTAATACTGTTTTCACTGATTCCCTGACCAGTACGAATCGCTTTGCAACGTCATTCATTGGGAATCACGATTACCTCCTTTTTGTCAGAGAATGGACCTCACACGGCTCCTCTCGAGCAGAAAGGACTTCAGAAAGGAGACGATGTAGGGATGGAAAAACCTTTAAATTGGCATCAGTTGGCATGAGACGCATCAATCACTATGCTAACTGTTTTCCATTACATTTTTGTTGAACTCAAGCAAAATTTTTAACGTAAATTTCCATGATGGATATGAACTTGGAAGAATATTTTGTCCCAAACTACTTTACTCTACATGGGCGATTTCAAGAATTGAAGCATAAGGGGTGTTATGTGAAACAGTGACTTGTGTACGGAGCATGAAAATGTTCCTACATTCTTCTTCAAAAAGGTAGTAGATACGCGATGAATGCGGTGCACGTGTAAGCGTGCGTAGCCCAACTGGTATTAACATAAAGGATAATAAAGCCTAAAGGATAAAGTCTTGGGGCGTCCATCATTCTCGTCTGAGAGATGTGCCCGCGCATTCGACTTCTATTCAGAATCGCAGTGGCGTATTGAATGCATATGTTGCCTGAACAATGACTTACGGAGGCCAGCCGATGTACAACTCAGTGCTTTTTATCCTCCCAGACAAATCTGGGTACCAATTATTTGACCTCGGAGGGATGGGAGGCTTGGTTGGCCTAGGTAGATTTCTATCGAAAATTCGAGCTCGTAACCACCCGTATGGGAAGTGCGCCACTCGCCACTACATCACCTCCATCCTGATATTAACATAATTTAGAATACGATACTTTCAAAAAATATCATTTCCACTGTTTCCACAAAATTCTCCTTTCCATTACTTTTCACGGCAGGCTATATGATTCAAACTAGTAACATATAACTACATGAACTTAGAGGACTATTTCAATTTGCTCGGCGCTTTCGCTATAAGGGTGAGATGACCTGCCATTAGAATTTTCCTTAAACCGTCCTGCATTAGTTTCTCTACTTCGAGATAGTTTGAGAATATATCGAAGTATATTCTGAGATGTTTTGATAGAGATGCTCATGCACTCTCGGACAACAACGGAGGCCATAGCATTTCACAAAATAAAAATGGCGAAGAAAACGGCGGATAGTTATGCATAACCACAACAGTTGTTAATACTGAAAGTAGTTTCCGGGAGATCAGGATGAGGGGAAGCTCAGTTCTTCTTCATTTGTATAAGCAAAGCAATTTTCACGTAAAAGATTGTGCTCTATCTAGGGCTCTTATGGTCGGCACCTCTGTACATTTTAGTTTCCAATCTAGGGATATGGTTTACAAGTATCTTCTAGGGAAAAGTGTTGAGTCAATGCAATGGTTTGAAAGCTTCTCAATTGAAATACCTGGTTTTTGATGCAGTGAGTTCCATTGATAGCTCGCCTGCCCAAAGATGATGTGACACAGAACAAGGCCACCACAGCCAACCGGAGCATCTGAAAACTGATTCTTGTTTTGCAAAGAAGTAAGTAACCTAATTGAGGAGGCATTATAGTATGGAACGTAGTAGAAGTAGTTGCAATGTTTGTTACAGCGTGTACGTAACAGGCATGACAATCGCAAACTGCGAAGGGAATTTCGTTGTTGTCGGCCGGTTGTCCTTGAGCTCGACCCAGTATCGCATCCTAAAAGAAGGCCGAGAAATTGGGCCACTGCGCCATCGCGCCCTATTCACTATTAACTCTCTCTCACTTGCAATAATTCTCCTAGTTGTAGTTAGGTGTGTTCTAACTAAGATGAGTGACTAATTTAATTATGCTTGTAGTCTGAACAATGAATCTGGCTGGATTCCACAAACGGAATGACTAGGGGTTATACTTATCGATGGGCCCATTCGACCGTGGGTGGAGTGGGTATAATAAATAATACTGATAGGCCTTGCAGCATCTGGTTTTGAAGCAGAAGGTTACTGTAACCACAGAGTTATTTATGGTTACACTAACCTTCTGCTTCAAAACCCTTCTAGAGTCTTTTTTTATCAAAAGTTGGACACATCCCTCAAGACGTCATATTTATATTGAAAATATGACGCAATGGAACCGTGAGTTTCTTAACAAACAGACAATAGAAAGTGGCTGGAAGTTCATCTTAATGCAAGGAGCAGGAAACTTTTATTTTGCGTAAATGTAAACCATTGAGATAGGAGTCGATTATTGACGTGCACTAATAGTTAGTAGCATTCATGACTGCAAAGGATAGGGATACTGTAGAAGAAGGGTCAAATGATCAAAACAGGTTGCGAAGTAGTCTGCCACAAGGTTGGCTTTCTTAGACACAGGTAAGAGCACGACCATTAGAACCAACGGAACAGAGAGATTTCTCCCTATCGTCTGGGTGCTTGCTAACACATGAATGAATTCTTCATATTATGACAATCAGAAAGCCTCTTCTCTTTAGAGGCGAAATAGCGTTCAGGATGAAGCGCAAAATCTTTGCCGATTTTATTGCATTCGATAGACGATAGGGTCCTTCAGATGATCAAACGACCGTTCCTTTGTCAAAAGAAGTTTTGAAAGTGCTGCGAATTCCCATCAGAAGAGTGCGCTATCCTTCTCATCGGACTAATCAACAGTTAGAGATCGATTATAGACATCATTAATGGCGACACTCCTTGGATGAAGCAAGCCCATTAATCCTATCGAGTTTCAAAGATGGTGTCTTTATTGATTCTAGACAAGTCTTCGAGAACGGATACAGCGATTAAGTCATTGTGCTGTGATCAGACGTACCCAAAGGAGGTCCAGTCACGACATTGGATCCTAAATCAAGGGTAATAAACAAGATTGATTATAGTCTGGCCACACGTTAGCTCCCCGATAGGCTGTACAAGGCCTCAATGGGAGGAAAGTGAAGTAAAATAGCTAAATTTGCTGTTTTTTTTTTGTGGTGAGGTCATATGAGAGAGGGTGTGGTGCAGTAGGAACGAAACTGTGCGTGATAGACGCCGCACGTGAAGGAGTGTAGCAGAATGCGGCAGCAAGTAAGAAATACCGGAAAAATAGAGCTAATAGTAGAATCAAGCTACAAGTACTAACTGCATATCGATTGAGTTGTATGAAGAACGCTAGAACTGTTATAACGAAGCAAATTGTCCGCGACAGCCGCGTGCGGCGGAACGACTACACACAACCGTTCCCACTGCCAGTCTCCCCATTAGAAATTGACCAATCGGTATCTAGGTTGAATTCTCAAAGTGCACAACATTCCACGTACCAGAACACAGAACATATGGGAAGTTACAGAGCTCAACATCCTCAGCGAGACTGCGACCCACAAGATGATAGACGAGTAAAAAGCGAATACAGCAAAGCTCATATTTGGAGCATCCATATAGAGAACATTTGCTGAAAGGTTAAGAACATGAAATTGTTCCAACTCGGAATCAATCTGACGAAATACACATTCCACCTCTTCTACTACTTCGTCTATACTTTTCTGACACTAAAACAGGCCAATTCCGAGACAACTCCCTTTTTATCGACTTTTCAGCCGGGCCAAGTTTTCGCTCACAAAATTGTCAATGAGCTCAAGAATGGAATAAAAAGCTATAGTTCCGGAACTTTCCTAACCAGCTGACGCGAATCCTATAATAAACTAGAGAGATGGGTCTTCATGCTCAATCTTCCGTCGTTTTTTGGGCTCTGGTCGAGAATGCTAGGGATTTCAATTCACGACATGTTGCCTGAAAACTATGTACCTAAGTTCTTCGCCATGAGGTGAACCTTAATACAGGTCCTTCACTCTGGCACGAAGTTGTTTACCTATATCGATTTCAGAAGGATCTGTGGACCTATGAGTGCCCAAATTTTTGAACTCAGACAAATTCCTGAGCAATCCAGCGTTCTCGTGTGTATCAAAATGAGATGACGAAAAACACATCTGATCATAAGGGCTTCACCGTGTTCCTTCTTGCCCAGCCGATACATTTCCGTAGTTATGTCGAGAACGTCTAGCAACTGCATGATCTCTTATGTGTTACCCTCAGCATGGAGCACTTTGGTAGAACAGTCTCCTTCTAGGTCCGATATACAGGGTGGGCCAAAATTATGATTACAGCGCGCGCTGACGTTCATTGCAAATTTTTTCTATGTTCATAACAATTCATTGAATGTCTTCCATTTCACAAAGTAGCTTACGTTATTACCTTTCTAATGATACTGAACTTTGGGTAGATTTTTAACATAATATAAGTGTAACTAGTCCGTGAATTAAGCGTCGCTTTGCATTTACAAACACTTTTGGCACGGTGCATATACAGACGAACTAGCGAAACAAGGCAGGAATTGCATTCAACCATAAGACGCTCTCGAGAGTTGGGAACAATTGCAGATAGGAGTGGTGAACCTAGAAAAGCTGTGGTTATATTTAAGGGAAGTGTTAAGGAAGCAGGGCAAAGGTCTACGTAGGAGCAAAATTCATTCTGCGACCAAAAAGGCTAAACGAATGGATATGTCACGAAATTTTCTGCGTGAAATCGTGAAGCATCACCTGCACAACGAGACCCTTATACGATCAGAAAGTGATTTCCCCAGAGAGCAGGTTAAAGAGAAGGGAAAGGGTGGCTAACAAAAGCTGCCTGTCGCATCCAAAAAAATTGTCCTACGGAATTCCTGTTCACCGACGAGAAAAGATTCACAGTGAAATAGGTGCTCAATAAGTATAGCGATAACATTTATATGAAGCTTAAAGAAATGAAAGTGATACAGCGCCTGGCTCACTAACTTTCTGTGATGGCCTGTGCTAGCGTCACCGCCGAGGCAAAGACACCGATTATTCTTGTGAGTTATGGAGTGAAAGTTGGTTTGGAGGCCTGTTTGATCTCTTCGTGCGCAATAGGACACTTTGGTGATTCGAACCGGTCATGTTGTCAAGATGAGGCTCCTGACCGCAGAACAGAAATTGTCTAGAAATTTCGTGGAAGGGGTTCTTTGACTTCATAACCTTCGATCAGTGACCACTCTGGAGCCCTGACCTAAATCCCATGAATGTCTCAGTATGGTCAGCCTCTGAGATGAAAGCATCCTTTAGCCCAAACAACAGAAGAAATAATCTCGAAAATGCTTTGCAAAAATCCGGGACCATTTCGATGATCCTAGCTGCGTGCCACCGTCAATGCCGTCCATCGTCGTCTTTGGGGTTGGGTGAAAGCAGAAAGCAACAGATCCCAGTCTCAATGTACAGTTTTGATAAGAAATTTGTGCTAAACCCTTTAATGGAATTGGTTTGCTCTATTGGCTTTCTATTCGTTTTCTGCGATGCGATTTCTGTGTAATCATAATTTTGGCCCACCCTGTCGTTTTCAAATGAGATTTATAAACTCCATTGCTAAGTAAAGATTTTGAACCACATTGTTGTCTCTTCGTTCATTTATACTATACAGTGACGACCACTCTGCCATTGTTCTATTGTTTATTACACTCTCATATTAATAGCTGTACACAGCGATACATGGTCAAAGCGTCTGTGAGTATTTACGACATTCGCCTTATTACAAAGCCTTATTAATCACAGCCAGAGGCAGTTCTACGTGCTAGTCATAAAACCTAAAAAACAAAACATGCAATGACACCATGATTCCCACACTTAATTCTATAATTCCAGCTTGGAATTCATGGGAATGACATGGTCGATGATGTTTAGAAAGAATTCGGTCGTGGTGGGAAGATGACCGTCTTCGGCGATGCCAAAAAACGAACGCATCTGAAATGAACAGAAATCGATGTCTTCCTGGAGACCAACAGAGCGAAAAACCCACTTTTCTTTGCACATGAGCAGCGAAATCGAGGAACGTCTGAGACAGAGTGCTGGTTTTGACGACACTGTGACAGGAGACATAGATGTTGTTCGCCAGAAGGTCGCCGGAACTGGTCATCGGTGCGTACACTCCCCTCTCACGGACCGCCGTCACTGATCGAATAACCACTTTGCGAAGAGCTGAACAGTAGAATACGACATGTATAGTCACAAATCTGCCAACTTTTCCAACCCGCAAATTGCAGCTAAGATTCATGGCGATATGCACTGCAAAAAAAAAAAAAAGATTTTTCTCTCTGAGTGAAAAGAATCCCTGCGCCAAAGTTGTGCCACAATTAGAAATTGCAAAGCCTAACAGCGAAGTCATGCCGGGAACCAGATTGTGTAGGTGTTAGCGTCTTCACGTGAGAGAACGTAGACATTTATTATGACAGTGACTTATGACTTGTACCTGCGCCGCGTATACTGGCCATTCACAAGACGAATGCTCATCCTCTCCCACAAATGTCCTCAAAGAGATTTCATTCTACCCTCAGCGTCAATGTGTTGAATGTTTTATTCAAAGCCTATCACAGTTGGAGAACAACCGAAGAAGGAAGTGATACATGGGAGCGATAAACAAATATGATAAAAGAGACTAGGCTGTCGCAAGAGAACCCGTAACCTCTCTGGTTGTGGTTTGCTTTATGCAGTCTCGACAAATTGCAAACGAAATCTCAGCAAGACAGCATGGGGAGTGCTGGTTGATCCGAGGTTCATACAATTTCTCAGAGTACTTTCATGACCGTTACCAATATACCATATACCAAACACCGTTGTCCTTGGAAGACGCGTGCTTTGGCCCATGCAACATCGGTATCTACATATGTACATACAACTGCCTTCGTCGAGTTTGGCCGCCACTGCCTTGTAGTCCAGCCCATTCCTTGGAGCTCGTTCTCCAGCCCGTTCAAATTAGAGAAGATGATGTGATAAGATCCGCAACGTAATGATTGACTCAGGTATGGGAGCCTGAAGACGTCGAGCGGGTTCAGTCTTCCTCCGTAAGTCGTAGCGCTATGGGTTCGATCTTCGTGGCGTAGGTCATTCGGTCAGTATCGTAGTATATTTGATTATTTCTCTTTATATGTCATGTTTCTATTATCTCGTTCTTCTTGATCGATGCTGTCTTAGACATGAAGAACTAGTATGAATACTGTGTTGGTTTTGTAAGATCGTTCGTTATTCTTACTCATTTATGTAAGGTCAGGTTGGGCATGGGCTAGACCGTATCGGGAACGTACGGTTGAGGTGAACAAATCACGTATCGTGATGGTCAGGCGTAGGTACTGTGAGGGCCAGCGTGAGTCCTCCGTCAAACACTGACGCCGATTCCGCTCTTAAAAGCGAGGCAAAGCCCAATGTCCAATACTTGTTAGGAGCAGGACGTTTCGCTAAGGCGCAAACCCTCCTAACATTACATAGGGCACTTTTTATCTTATCAGCAATAACTCAGCAAAATGTTTCCGTCGAAAATGAGGACCACGCAAAAGAGTTAGAGTAAAGTGGAAGTCGCAGTGGCGACCTTTGCTAGAAAATAGTAAAATTTAGGTAAAGTAAACATCCTTAGTTTATTGAAATTCTGAACCTGGTCAACTTCCGATCTACTACTCCAGTGACGCTTTTGGCATGTGAAAAAAGTCCAACATAGAATTCAACACAAAAAATACTGCGGCTAATTAAAGAGATTCAAACCCACCGTTGTTGTGAGTGTGGTAGAGGCAGTCACCCGCCTTCAACTCTTCAGCAAATTTCATGTCGACATTGTAATCAATGTTGTCGCAGTCGACCTGGAGAAGAAGATTCTTTTACTCCAGCAATCAAAGACGATTCAGTTACGACTTCTCTCAATTGCACTAGGGGATTTGTTTGCTAATTAATTACCTGGAAGAGACTGGGACGCTTGATCCATCAAATTAAGCGAGGAATTAATTAGATCGGTAGCTCTTTTCAAGTGGTCAATGGGCCCATATCCGTAAGGACGCTGATCAGTGTATGCACATCAAAAAGGTAGGAATGGGAGAAACCGTTCGAAATTTTCTTCCAACTTCCAACTGTTTGAACCTAGTTCCCTATTCGGGCGGAGGTGGTGCAAAGGGAGAACGTCCGTTGCGCGTGTCCGTCGAAAGTAGGTCACCCCGCCCACTTCGCGCGCGGCGCATCACACTGAGGTCTCGAGATGACGTTACAGTACCACCAAGTGTCATGGAGCAAATGATTTGCATTTGTCTGTGTTATCTTCTTCTTGAACTGACTGCCGTGAACCAAACGCAAAGCGTATGCCCCAGTGGCAATTGCGACGTCTTTCAAATATCGGTCGCCGACCGCCACGTGCGTCGGCGGCGGCGTGACCTAGTTCCGACGGACACGCGCAACGAAGCGCACCCNCCAGTCTCGTCTGGAAGGATGACTTGTAGTTCGGCTGGCCACCGCAAGTCATTGTATAGGCCACATACGCATTCATTACGCCACTGCGATTCTGAAGGGAACTCGAGTCCGGGGGCATTCCATCTTTGGCAATGGCGTCCCTCAGACGGGATTGATTAACGCCAAAGACCTTACCCCTTGACTTCAAATTCACCGACTTTAGCGTGTGCAAGTTGCTGTTGGAAAAGCTGCAGCTCCATTTCTTGCCCACTAAATTTTGCTATTGAATAAGTCTCCCAGCGAGTCTAGTGAACGCTACACCTTTAAAGGCACAGTTCACTATAATTTTGGGCGAGTGATGGAGATGGTGGTAAAGAATAGTGCGAAAAAGGGGAGAATAGAACGCGGAGATTGGCGTTTTTGAAGAAACATAAAACTTCAAAAAAGTATTAAAATTAGGGCTAGGACAAGAAAGCGTCGACAAAAGTTGCATGGAGGGGGTATTTGGACGAGTCGTCTAGATGTGTGTGCCATTGCACATAGCTGGCTGCCCGTTTGGGTCACTTTGAAAGCAGTACAAACTCTGCAGCTTCTACAAGGCCGCGGGAACTCATCCACCTTTGCATGTAAACGTCAGCTAGCGTCAGTCATGCGCCTGAACTGCCTCTCGGATCCAGCTGAACTAATTAATGACGGCATTCAATTTGCTAAGCCAGTTCTAGGGCCTTCATTTCGCCCTATCCAAGCCCGATTTCCGATCCGACAGCGTCACATGTGCTATCCTTGGGGATCACAGATCGACCCCAGGTAGAAATCACTGAGACCACACTTAATGCGAACTGTGCATTCAACCTCAATAGATTTTCACCAATGAAAAACAACTGAGACTTTGTGCAGGTTCTGATTAACAAAGCCGAATAAAGTAAAGTAAGCAGGAGTAGGTTACAGAGCTGACCTTGAAAATGAAATGTTGTGGTGTGAGCTTGATTTCTTCCTGGTCGGTTTGAAGTTTAATGAATGACGCTACGGTATCGGGAAGACGATGAAGGAACGAGGTAACAGGGGTGAACACAGTCTTGAAAGATAAATTTTAGAAGTGCCTTCAATCTTTAGATGAAGACATACGTGCCGCGTTAAGCCAAAAATTACTACGAAAATTCATTTCTGTTGTCCAAAAAAAGAAAAAGAGAATACTATAATACATGACATACCGAATTGAGTTCAGCAGTAAGCACCAGCTCTCCGATCTTTAACTCATCCATTCGTTTTGTACCAGAAGGCGTTTCGACCATTGTATCACCGGTGAAACAGGCCGGTACTCCAGATGCAACAGGATAATAGAATCCAGCCGAAGTTACCGGCACCACTTGCTCTCCAACCTGGAAGCGGGGTGAGAAGTCAGGAAACTTATTTCGGAACACATTCTTACTACGCCACCCTGTTTCGCGTCACTGTACCTGTACGATCTCTTCACCGTTCGCTGGCTGCTCATTCACCGGTACTTCATAAGAATCAGAAAGTGGTGGCTGTTGCGCGTCACCAGCAGGTTGCTGAGCTCTCACGTCTCCAACTTTGTCGAGTATACGCGAAATATCGCTGGGATCCATGGCAACTGCAAGGTAAGTCGAAATAGTTCGAAATGCTTAGAAATTGATTGTGGGCTTGTAGATGTGGACGTCTATGGTCGACGTGGTGAAACTGCTTAGATCACATAGTAGAGAGTGCTACCATTGCAGGCACTAGCTTGACAGTACCCTGAGAAACCCTACGTAGTACATACGTACGCAATCTCACCACACTCTATTTCGAGCTTTCTGGTGAATAGCTAGATAACCTCCTCCTTAGACCTAGTCAATAAGCTGAGTGATGAGAAAAGATTGTATCCAGTACGTATCAAAATAGATACCGTCATTAACTGGTTCAGCTGGATCCGGGAGGCAGTTCAGGCGCATGACCGTTAGTTCGTAGGCAGTTCTGAAAATCACTTTTCTGTATAGGCTCGCACCATTGAATTGAACTACATATACTCATAAAGGAACCATATTTTCACGCCCGTTGAAGATAAGGACTAGTTACAATAAATCAGAACCTCAGGGGGAACAGATAAAAACTGTATTATGCTCATTACTTACATTCAATGAACTTAGCTCCTGAACCGTCATGCATCGTTTATTAATGACTAGTAACCTCCAGGCCTCCTCAAGAATGGTGAAGATAGACAAAAGAAGGAAAAATTATCAACATTTCCGTCAGTTGCTATCGGTTTTCCCTTTCAAAAACACCTATACACAATCTGAAGGACACTCACGAGCCATCCTCGGCGTCGATTTTCTTCACATTGGAGATGAGATCGAATCCTGTCTGTCGACCATCACGAAGTACCTCTCCTAGACCATTAAAGCTTTGTTCAATAATTCAGTTGCATTTCCCAATGATTTTCGAAAAATAATCAATAACTGCATTTTGTCTAGAAAAGATGAGTTGTTCAAGAAAGCACTTTTCAAAGACACAATCCGCGCTTAGACCTGGTTTCGAAAAACTTGGCTCACTGAGTTCGAACTCAGGCTGCGAAGAGGTCAAAGGGGTCGAGTTTGCCGACAACAAAATGGTTCCTTCACGGAAATGGCTACTTCGCAAAAGAGTTGTAAACAACGGCATGTGGAATGCGAAGAAATTGTATCTAGTTGTTCGCGTTCTCGAGCGAGAACTTTGATGAAGGAACACTGTTTGTAGAAATTAATGGGGCATAAGCAACCATGTTGCTCCTTTCTGTTCTTAATTTCTCTTATTAACCTAGAGAACAAAGATCTCATTTCGCGAGCTCTCGACAATTCGTTTGGTATTCCTTCCCGGTGGGCAGACGAGTATTGTAGCTTTATTTGCGAGTGCCTTACGTAATGTTGATGGACGGCTCGTCATGAGCCAGGGGAACTGTAACCTTTCGAGAATGGGAAGCGTTTCACACCGCTGTTACCAATTCCTGATCTGATCCCTGCAACGCGACGAATTCTCAGCCAACGCCACCTTTTCCCCAAGCGCCTGTTACTTTGACAGTGCAGGAAAGATTAGTTTTTGTGGCGAGGAGCGTATTGGGGTCTGCGTGTACGTTTTCTCCTGATCATTCAAATCACACATCCTTGGGAATCAAAACATTCTGAGAGTGGATACGATTTCTAGCTTTTCAAACTGATCCAACGGCTCGAAAACCAGGTAGGATAACTTCTCAGCTCTTATGCTTCAAAGTCAGCAGAAAGTATGTTGAGCCTATTCTTAGTCTTTGGCGTACCTTATTTAAGCATTAGAACTAAGAACAGTCTCGAGAGAGAACAAACAACGACACAGTGGACGAGGGGATGTTGCATCCGACTTTCCACATGTGACATTAAATCTCAAGCCCTTTGTTGAACTTGCTAGAACTTGAAGTGGAGGGGTATGCAAAAGTACGCACTGTTTGCCAATGGAGTCTGAATTGCTCCTGCAACTCATTCCGAATTTTTCAAATGCATTGCCTTTCTCGACACTTTCCCGGAATTACAAGTGCTTGCATTTGCAAACTTCCTTAAGGCTCCTTTATCAGATAAATCATTTGCACTTACCACCACTGTAAACCTCGCCACTGTGCACAATTGGTCTACCAACTTCTTCGGCGAAACGCATGCCTTCATAAGTGCAACACTGGAGACGTAGACTGAATCGATAAGATTCAATTTTGAGAACAATTCGGAACGATCTGCACGTGGGGGAGAGTTTACCTTCCATCAGGACTTGCGAGAAATCCGCCAACCCATGACCTGTCATCAGATGAGCATGAGTTTGAATCGAAACCAACAGGACATTGAGCCTGTTGAGCTGGAGCTGAAGACAGTCGGGTACGGCTTCGCTGCTGATCCCCCTCACGGATGAAACCATCTTCACCATCAGCATTCGGCTGCAATTCAATTTGATTATTGTTAAATGATTGGCGGCTTGACATTATAAGATCTCTTGTACTAGTTATTTCGGTCAAAAATTTGAAATTATAAATATATTAGCCGGATACGTCAAAAGCGAAGCCTTTTTCTCATCTATAATGGAAGAGCGTTTTATTGTTTTCCATGCTTATGATGTATATACGCGCTATTTTCCAAGCATAAACGGTTTGCTTGGTCTAGAGTGTGTACCAATACAGAAGTTGATCAGCAAACCACGGGACCATCCTTGTGGTAGCTGAAATATTCAGGCCTATCCCGAGCCCTACAGCTTGCTCACTGATGCTAGGCCTGCACAAGAACAGCAAAACAGCATTCGAAAAAATTTCCTGGCTGTATTCGGGACACAACTTGAATCGCTTCCCTTTTGCCTATATGCCGTTCACTCCGGGCCCTTGCCTTGATTCAGGGAAACATCGAGAGAACACAAACTTTGTGGTCAATCCATCTATGAGTGGTTTGAAAAGGATTGGATTCTGTATAACAAACGTCGAATATGTTTATTTTAAAAATTTGTAATTAGAATGAACAATACCTGGAAAAGGGCATCGTTGAGACCACCTACACCACCTGTGCCGCCGCCGAAGCACGAAGGTGTAGCGCAACCTAATACAGGGTTGCCGGACGGTAACACCTGTAAAATCAGTATATTCCATCTAGGAGACTGCGATAACAGCACCATAATAGCTCTAATGATAACCTCGAATCTGAACGGTATTGCGGAACCACCACAGCTTGCAGCTCTCGAAAATGGTACTGCCGTTAGCAAAGTGGCTAGGAAGAGCATGCCTGCGAAAGGTCAAAAAAGTAAAAGTAATGAAAGTTAAAATCTTAAGTGGAACAGTGAACTGAATAAAGTCAATGGCTTGATAATGAAGTCATAATGATAGCGAAAGGTGTGCCGGTCGGTCGGCGATCAAGTAGGTGAAATGAAACAACGGGAGGCGCTGGCCCAATTTCTGCGGGAATTATTAGAAACAAAAGAAGATACACGGTGATCCGAAATTCCGTGGTGAGAGAGGATAGCAAGCCGGTAGACGAAAGCGAAAGACCGAGACCGAAGGTGAACCCGAGAAACTTTTGCCTTTGATCCAAATAACATTTAGAAATCACTGAATGCCGTGGGAAGTGACGTTCGGAACTGTTCGAAGTGAAGAAAAAATTGCCACAGTGCAGAACCTCATGATAGCAGTTCAAAACTTCGTTCCTCGCCTTCTGAAGCATAGCCTTGTTGTCACTTTAGCTGAAGGATAAACAAACCCTCTGCCAAGAAAACTTAATGCTTTACTCTATATGAGTACACCCACTCGGGTCGCCCTGCTTACGCCGGGCCTCATTCCTTACTTTCACAAAGCAGTTAGAAAATGCAGTTGGAGGGAGGGGGATGCATCGCTTTTACCCATCACTGAAGGCTAGGTTGCAAAGAATGAAGGGTGGCCAAGCTTATCTGTGCTTGAAAACGGTCTAGGCGGAAGAATATAGTTTTAACATAAGCTTCAGGAATGGGGACCGGCGGCGGTGGGCCTCAGGCAAAAAGCTCTGATGCGATATGAGTTGAATATTCGACTGAATCACCCACCCGGTTCTCCTTCCCTCCTCAAGCTTTTTTTGTTTTTGTTTTATTTGTTTATAGGCTACATAAGGTGGACGTGAGATACAAACAACACCCCACTATAAAACTTCTCACAACTACGTGAACTCAACAATTCTTTATTTGCAAGGTGTTTGAAGTGCAGAAAAGCCGGGGAGAAAGTACCATTTGTGATCGGTCCAGTTGCATGCAAACTGAGGTCGAGAAACTACTGCATATTCTCAGCTTTAAAGTGCTCCTGAGCACAATTACGGACTAAAATCATTATCTGCTCTCTAGCGCTCATTGACGAAAAAAGCGGAGTTCTCCTAACTACATCATCATATCTGGTTTTTGTACAGACATACATAACACGATGCCAGTACAGATCGAAATCACAGCTTTGAACCACCTACTTCACATTACTCACTTTACTCCTCAGTACTCACTGTACTCTATCAACCGACCCACCATGTTACTGCTTTATGTATACACCAGTTGGACCGGCCGGCTCACGTCGGTCCCCCATTCCTTACATTTACTGAGCAGTTAGAAAAGCCCTCCCCCCTCAAGTGAGGAAATGCAGAGGAATGTAGGATAGAGCTGGGACTACCTTTATCGTAATCATAATTTTTGCGGACGGACAGACCGACAAGCATACAAACCGACACACACCAAGTTTTTGCTCCATAAATGAGATAAGAAGGAAATGTAAAATAGAGCTGGTTTTTCCATATAACCACCTTTATCGTGATCATAAAGCTTTACGGAAGGACAAACAGACAAACACATATGCCGACAAATCGACAAACCTACAAACGGACACACCAAGGTTACTGCTTTATGAATAAGGGAGGCAAGAGAGATGCTTGTCAAAGCTTGAAATAAAATCATAAGGTTCAACTCCCTTTTCTTTAGCCCATCTTACTTTTCAGACAAAACTGTAAGAACTCAATAGCATGATATCGAACTCAACTCATTTAAAGGCACAGTTCACGATAAAAGTGATTTCGGAGGTTTACACATGGTATGATGTGCCGAAATTAAGTCGAAAAACGTTCTGGATAGGGCAGAATAAGGGGCCGAAGAGTAAAGCACGGTCAGCCTCCGCCCCTCGCTAGGCTGACTACGAAAACTAATTGCCGTACACCACTTCCGCATTAGAGCAACATTAGTGAATAATCAATAAGCTGCTAGCATGGAATTAATGAAAGAGCACAATTCATTGAAATAAAAACATATAGAAGAAAAATTCACTGTAGAAACATGGATATAATCAAATTTACTCATCTTCTCGTCCCGGCGAATTGATTCTGCAGCATAATTCAGCTAATCAGCAGCAGGAGAATAATTAGTTTTAATGAAGAAGCCAAAATTCGCTGTTTTGGTGTGTTGTGTGCAATTGCAGACCCTGCGCCGCCTTCGTCTGACTCGCCCGAGTGTGTGTACATTCGTACGATTCGAGCTCGAGCCGTGCGCGGCAAACTCCAGTGACTCTGGCGCCTGTTATTGGGGCACAAACTTGAAATAGATTAGCTAAGTAGAGTCAGCTGATACTACCAGTCTATTTTACTTGAAATTAGGGTCCCAATAATAGGCGCCAAAGTCGTCAAAATAGTAATGGATTTCGCCGAGCAATTTGCAGCGCGCAATCCGAATCACACGAATGTACCGTCCCCCGACTCGCCAAAAATATCCCTTAGCCGCCATTTTTTCGCCGTGTAACTCGTCCAGCTCGCCTTTTCTCTTCTTTTTTTTAAAGCTTTGTATTTCATTTTATTCATCGTTTTTTGTTTTTCCATTGTACTACTATAGGCCGTACCTAACATTTTTCGTCAAAAACCGGATACCCCAAAATCATCGTGAACTGTGCCTTTAAGGATCTACGGCATGCGTGGGTATAGGCGGCATGATTTATGTACCCTAATGCGACACAGAACTCCAGTGTCCTTTCGCTAGGTGTGACTGTTGGTTTGTCGGTGGACATAATTCTCTCAGATACTCAGCTTTAATTGGATAAATCATAAGCCAGCATTGCCTATGCAATTAAAGCTGGTATCTGGAAGAAACTTTGATATACTTATGTAGTTGTATTCGATCATCCCATTCAACAGGGTCTTGCTGAGCTCTTCGAAGATCTTTGCGCCTGAACGCAGATTAAAGTTTGTCGAAACTTTACAAGCAAGCAAGCAGGTCCGGTATATCAGCTGTTGAGTTGGTTCTGTTAGTCAAATCTCCGCACACACCAGTCCGTTTGAATTGCTCGAAAATCCAGCTCTGTCTTAGAGAAGTTGCAGGGTTCTTATTCTCTCTCTTAATGAATGTCACAAGGTGAAGTGAAAAAAGGTGACCCTTATAATTAGATCTAATTTTAATTTACAATAATTTTTTACATATTCTTCACACGTTTGTCCGAATACGCATTTTCACTGATAGCCAAGTCAAGTAGCCTAATAAGGAACCGAATTAGATTTCGACGTAAAAAAAGAAACTTCATTAGGATCGCATTCTCAAAGTCATTCCACTCGAAGAGGAATACTTCGGATACTCATTCTATGTAGGAAGAACCATCATTTGCATATAGGTTAGAGTTAGGCATTGAAAAACAGCTGGTCATCCAAGATTCAACCATAACAACTAATATCCTCCAACGATTCAACGAAGAGCACACGTGGTCTCAATATCTGTTTCTATGCCATTATTCGTGTGGACTCCTTCCTTTCTTTGTGTAGCTGATTCTGCTTATCGTAGCAAAGCGGAAGTAGCACATTCACAGGTTTTGTCTCTGAGGAAAGTGTTTTAATTGAAGTCTTTACTCAGAATTTGTTATACACCTTGTTATTGTCACTCCATCGATAACAGTGCCTCGCGTTGAAATGGCCAGGAGGCAATTTCCTTGAAATTGAGCTGCCATGCAAACGGAGAAGTTTTCTTTATGTAGGCATTCTTTGACCGGATGCTTTTTGGCGCTCTCTCCAACCATTTCTGAACACTTGCACAATTTTCTTGAGTGTGTTTCTTTCTCACTTTTCACAGACCTTGTTCTCGACTAGCTATTCCTACTAGGCAGCCGCTCTTCTCCCAGTCATGCACTTCACCTCACCTTGTTCAGCACGCATCTCTTGACCCCATATGCAACTCTGATTCTTCTTCTTCTTCTTACTCTTCAGCGCTTGTCTTGTAGACGGGGTCCGCTTTTCTGATATGTTGACGCCACTTCCCCCGATTAAACGCTTGATCGGGGTGGATGTTAACCGCTTTATGGTCTTTGTGGAATGTATCGAGCCACCCCTGCTCTGGACGTCCTCTAAGCCGCTTCCCAGACACGTCAAGGATGAGGTCGCTCTTACGAACACTGTCGTTCTTTGCGCGAAGAACATGATCATACCATCGTAGACGGGCTTCGCGCATTTTATCGACAATGGGCGCTACACCGAATCGCTCCCTGATGGCGTCATTACTTATACAGTCTGGGCGTGTTACTACGGCTGTCCAGCCATTTTGGTCTCCATCGCACTGAGACGGGCTTCACCTTCTTTGGTTCCAGGCCAGCATTCAGCGCCGTAAATTGCAACCGGCCGGATAACGGTTCTGTAGATCTTGGATTTGAGACGCTCAGGGATGTTCTTATCGCAGAGTGCGCCAGTCATTGAGCGCCACTACAACCACGCTGCAATCACGCGAGTATTCACTTCAAAACCCATGCTGCCGTCAGACGCAATTGCCGATCCAAGGCACTTGAAAGTTGTTGTCCGTGTGAGCTCAGTGCCATTGATCTTGATAGAGCCTAGCTCGCTCGAATCAGTGGTCAAGTACTCAGTCTTTTTGACATTTAACCTGAGCCCGAACATAGCCAGACGGTCGGACCAAGTCTGCACCTGTGACTCGAGCTCGCTTTTATGTTCGCTGGCGAGCATCACGTCATCGGCATGAAGAAGCGTCTATGGAGCCGGCTTCTGGTTGTCTTTTGTAATGGTATCCAGGACGACAACAAAAAGTAGTGGGGATAACGCAGAGCCTTGGTGTACTCCGACCGAGATGGGAAAGTCCGTCGATGTGCTTGCTGCCGTTTGCACTCGGCTCTTTGGGCTCGTGTAAAAGATGCGCACTCACTCAATGAGCTCTTCGGGAAGCCATGCTGTCTTAAGGCACACCATATAACGTCACGTGGAACGCGATCGAAAGCCTTCTTCAAGTCTAGAAAGGCAAGATGTACCGGTCTCCGTTTTTCGCGATGCTTTTCTAGAAGAAGGCGAGTGGCGTGTATGGCATCGATGGTGCTACAACCAGCTACGAAACCACGCTGGTTAGTGGTCAACTCGACGACACGATATCACGGACACGGCTGTCTACAATTCGCTCAAAGATTTTCATGCTGTGCGAGAGAAAGCGAACTGGACGGTAGCAAGTGCAGTCCTCAGGACTGCCCTTTTCCTTCCAGATAGGGATCGTCGTGCTCTGTTGGCAGCTCTCGGGCGCCTTCTTCTCTGCGAAGACCTGGTTGAAGAATTCCGTCAACCATCTTGCAGGATTCCAACCTTCCGATTGCTACAAGTCCACCGCTAAGTCGTCAGGACCAGTGGCTTTGCCTGATTTCATCCTCTGCAAAGCCGTAATGGTCTCATTCACGGTTATCTTCTGAACGGGACCGTGTACCGGCGGAGCGCAGGAGATGGCGGGAAGAGCGATTTCGACTGCTGAGATGTTTGCGAAGTACTCTCGCCATCGTTTCAGTGTTTGCCTGCGGTCCGCTAAGAGGTGACCGTTTTCATCATTAATGCCGAAGAACTTTTTATATATCCTCGGTCTGGCGGTTGCGGGTCTTTGCGAGTCGGTAAAGGTACCGCTCACCATCACGAGACTCGAGTTTATTATCAAGATCGGCATAATGAGCTGCCTTCTCAGAAGAACTTCAGCTTCTTCGCCTCTTTCTCCGCTATCTGATAGCGTTGCCAGTTGTCAGCCGTCTTTTCGATGAGAATTGCGTGGTACTGCTTTTTCTTCTCACGGACTTTATCCTTGACATGGTCCGTCCACAGCCATGTTTGCTTATCGAGCTTTCGCCGTCCGGGCTTGGTCACGCCGAGCTTCGACCGTGCAACCGGGGTTATCGCTTCCGCAGCTCTCTTCCAAGTTTCGTCGACAGCCGCTACCGCTGGTAACAGAATTCTGGAAACGACGGCCGCTTCTTTCTCCTTCAGTCGCCACTACTTGATTCTCGCTGGCCCACACCTTCCTGCGAATTTCGGTTTCGACGGGGCGATCCTTGAAGTACAAATCAGTGGTTTGTGTAGTGTTGCGACCGTTTCATAGGGAACTGTCTTTGCGTCTGTTACGAGCCCCTGATCGCGGTGCCTGACAAGGACAAAATCAATTTGCGTTTTATTCTCACCGCTATATAAGGTGGTGAGATGAGAGTCACGTTTGCGAAATCTCGTGTTTACAATGGCGAGATCATGCGAGTCTGCATATTCAAAAATTCGCTCGCCATAAGGGTTACGTGACCCATAACCGAAACCCCATGGCAGCAAAAACAGTCTTTCGTGGCACCCGCGTGACCGTTGAGGTCACTTGCGACAACCATGGCTTCTTGTAACGGCACTTCAGCTGTCTTTTCGTCGAGCATGTTCCAGAACGTGTCCTTGGTTTGCTCGGAGCATCCAGACTGCGGAGCATACGCTGAGAAGAGATGGTATTTTTGGCGTCCGATGACTACCACGATCTTCATTAGGCGGTCATCGAATCGAGTCACGGAACCGTTCAGAGACTATTATCCCGAAGCCGTTGGTGATTTTGGGACCACCACAAAGGACAGCTTTGACGCCGAGGCCAATGCCCCTGGACTTACAGCAGGAACACCTCGCTTCCTGCACGGCACAGAAATCAATTCGTCGACGCTCTGGAGCTTCTGCTAACTCGTACAAGCGTCCCGTTAACGTGCCAACATTTAACGTCGCAACGCTGGTCTTTCATACGTTGCGTGGCTTTCAGACTAGCTTAGTTGCCTCCCGATGCCGTCCTTGCATCGGAGGCCCTCGCATACTTTTTACACTCACCGGGCCTTGCGAGTGCGCGTCGGCTCCCGCAGACGCCGTAGCATCACATCGAAATTCTTCAGGTGACATTAACATTTCTGATGTGTTCGTAGGCCGGCCTCACGGGGCCTGTCACCCGCATCCGAATGTCCGTGATCAGCTCAGCCCACAGAGTGGGCAGTTTCCTGTGGCACCCCTGGAGGAACAGACATCGCTACCATGTGCAACTTCGATTGAAACTTCATATTTTCCGAAGTGATGAAAGGAGCTTACTGATCGGCATAGTGAGTGATTACTGACAATGTAAGGAACTGAATATCAATGTCTTATCGCAGGGGTCATGAACTGATGCTGCAGACCTTCAACAGGCACTACCCCAACTACCGCTTGCGATCTATAAATTTCACTCGGCCGACGTAGAGGCATGTTTGACTTTTTTATTTAGGTACGATTCAATCCGGTCGAGGGGTCACGAACGCTACTCTCGTCATGTCCCTACATCTGTTTGAGCTACGCGCTATTGTGAGTTACCTGCGCACGATACCGTGCGCGTCTCATGGCTTCTAACAAATGAATTTACTTGAAGATGACTCAACAGTATCCACCCTCTCAAGAAAAATGGAAAGAACCGTTGTCCCACTCCACTAATAACTTCATAAGCCGTCTTTCGAGAGCGCACATTTCCAGCAAACTGCACTTGACGACCACCTACATTCGTTCATGCCTCCATTCCATTGTGCATACCGAGAGCATTTCAAAAATCGGAAAATGGAAGCATTTGGTTTCTTCTTCGTGAACACTTCCTTGCCGTTGTAGAACAAAAGTACTTCCTGAAGATGAAATGGGAATTTCTTTGCAGTTCAATCATTTATCCTCCCTACGTCGAAGCAGACATTTGATAAGATAGCGGACATTGGTAAATCGACGATATCTATGACCACTATATTGTTTAATGAAATTTCACACAAAATTCATGATAAGCTTGTAAGCGCAGAGATTCTACACAAACCCTTATTTTAAAGTTATGAGTGTCTTCACTGGAGGTGGAAGTGGACGAAAACCTTCAGACCTGGCCGAACAACAAGGCTCTCTTCGGACAGGTGTATGGGGTTTGTCAAAGATAGGTGGACCGCCCGAGCAACGGCGTGCTCTCCTCCCTATGTTGAGTTTGAAACGCCTCACCGAGGCCCATCGTTGGTACCTCTTTTTTTTGTCGAAAAATGAGTGGATAGCAAGAGCCTCACATCGAGTAGTCCAGAGCTATACTGGTAAAAATCGGTTGTTATTATTGATCGTTACGTTTACAGCTACAATCTCATCACATCTCTCGAGCTTTCTTAGCATTGGAACACTGTACAATTGAAGGAAATAAAATTGCGATTGAGCGGTCAATCACGAAATAGATTGATATAGCATATCGGTGTATCGGCCAACATCCGCACCGTGGATATA